CTACTTCAGATTGCGCCATGCACTCGAGCTTTGGCTCGAGAAAAAATTGTTTGAATGTGGTGCGCATATAATCCCGCTTATGCATCATGATCTTTCTTCAGAGAGATGGGTCTCAGTAGTTGCTCCAGAACGCGCCGCGTATTGTGAAAGGATCGATTGCTTTTTTTCAGATTTCATGGTCCCTATTCCATAGCGGCGCGTTAAATGACTCAAACATGTACATGACTGCGCTCAACATCTCCTCCTCTCGTGTTCAAATGGAAATCATAGATCAATTTTCGGCAGGACAGTTAGCCTATTTGGTGAAATTTTCCAATGTTTGAGCGAAGGTTTTTCCGAAATCTGAGGAGGTAGCGGGGAAATTTCTTCACAGTTGTAGAGTACGCTTACTTGTGTGTAGGAATAAGATCACACACTTGCTTGCAGATGAGCGCTCCCTCCGTGCTGTGGCTGTGAACATGCCTCCTCGTCATGCCCTTGTGGAAAGATCAGATTTTTTGCATTTCCAGATGAACTCGCAGACCTGAAATGTGCCCCGTTAGATTCCCCGTGAAAAATGCTATCGAATGATATGCATTACTTCCCCAGTTGAAACTTTGGTTTTTCACCGTTTTCAGCCTTCCCCTATTGCCGATTGGGCCCACGATTACTGCCCCAAAATCTCAAAGTTTCATTTTTCGTCGAAACTTTGTCTATTGGGGTAATTCGATGCCCTGATTACGAATATGACATTCATTTTTGATGCTGGTGTCATTTGGCGCCAATTGGCGCCAAAGACGATTTCGCGTTTTTTTCGTTTTTTCGTTATAAATCGGTTTAAAATTAAGATTTTCAAAATCTGAAAACAGCCTTGAACTCAGCTCGTCGAGATCTATAAGAATCCGTCCTAAAGTTTTCTAGCGGCACTACACTGGATTGCGCCATGCACTCAATTTTCATCTCAAAAAGTAGTTGCTCGCATGTGATGTGTATATAATCCCGCTTATGCGGAGCTGACCGCTACACAGAAAGAAGGGCCTCAAAACTTACCCCAGAATGCGCCACGTACTCAATCTCATCCACTACATTGTGAGATTAGATGAATGTTATTTTCCGAATTCTTAGATCTTCATTTCGTTTTTAAGCGCTTACTGGCTTTACGTGTTCCCTCTGCTCTCAATATCCCATCCTCTGTATATCAAGTGGAATCTTTGAACAGTTCTCAGCAGGCATAGTGGGCCTATTATGTGACATTTTCCATTTTCAGAGATGTTTTGCAGAAAGCTATGAAGATAGCGAGGAATTATTTTCACCAGCGTAGACTACGGTCACTTTTCTGTAGGAATTACATTTTTTTGGTTTTCCAGATGAACATAGAGAAGATAGAAGACTGAGATGTGCACCATTCGATTCCCCATAAAAAATACTGTCGAACGGTATACAACTCACTTCGTGGAGAACACCTAGTTTACCTGCCACTAGATCCATTTTGTGACATTTCCCAATTTTCGAAGGGATGTTTTGAGGAAATTCGAGAAGGGAGGGACGAACTCTCTTCCCTATCGTAGAGTAAGTTTACTTGTATGTTGGAAAAAGATGATACACTCGGGCTTGAGCGAGTGTTTCTTCCCTGGTGTGGCCTCAAACATCGCTCTCCGTCATGCCCTGAAATAAAAACCAGATTTTTTGGTCTTCCAGGTGGCTCTACGGAGCTGTGGTGTACACCATTCGATTCTCCATGCAAAATGCTATCGAACGATATACATCTCAGTTCCCACTTGAAACTTTCGTTTTTCATCGCCTTTTCCTTATCGCCGATCGCCTTCCTCAGCCCTGGCCACCCACGTGCTATTCACGTGCGCGGTGCGTGATGACTTTCCCACGCACTTTCGACACGCATAGCGGTGTATCGATCGGGCTGCCCGCCAGCTACCGAGAAAGGCCATCGGCTGTCACGTGAGCTCTCACGCACCGCGCACCTAGCGAATTATATATAGTAGGATTGTTACAGAAAGGGAGAAGTGCACAAATTCTGCCGCGCAGTGAGAACCAGAGGCGATGCGGCCGCGCCATGCACATTTGATGGGGTGCTAAGTGGGTTGGGGGGGGACCACGCGGCGGCGCGGCAGTCTGCTCGCCTGGCATGTTCGGAAATCCGTGGGCCAGGGGGAGTGTAGGCAGTCTAGGGGGTGGGGGTGGGGGCAGTCACTTGACATGCGTGAAAAGCTGGAATGTTCGAGTTTACACTGTCTCGCTCGAGAGAGCCCAGGTGAGCAGAGCCGCGCCGCCGCGTGGTCCCCCCCCCAACCCACTTAGCACCCTTGATGGCAGCGACTGTTCCGAATGGTCGCGTCACAGGCGGGCTTAACCGCCCGTTGCGCAAACTTCAATGAGAGGATCGTAATTGGCTAATAGAGGGGAACGGGAGAGTCGTAAGCTCAAGTATCAGCCACAGAATTCAAGGTCCTAGGGCATAGAAAGTGACCAAGGATAAAAACACTGCAACTACTTTTAGTCACAAACAATTGGATGGCGTGTTCCAGAACAGCACATCTTGTGGAACAACTTCATATTCCAGTGAGCACAAGCAAACGAATTCTTACTCGAAAACCATATTGCTTTTAAAGGCAAAAGTCGGGCTCAATAAGGGGGTATTATGGCGATTGAAACTGAGTATAGAGATGCGAAGTGGAACGACAGTGGAGAAAAAACTGAGAAAAACCGTCGACAAGGCCGTTAACAAAACCCTCTTTCCCACTAGCAGTGAAGGAGGCTGGCTTGGGGAAAGAGGCACGTACAAACAAGTTTTCTGGAGATGTCAGTCGTTCTATCGGTTGATACGGCAATCAACCTAGCTGATTTCACACGTTATGCCAGCCACGCACCACTTCCGGAGGTGGGCGGTCCTGGATTGACCAGGCGGCCCTGGATTGAAACCGAACGCCCCGGGGCCTTAACGGGTTTTTCAAGGTGGGAAGTTGCTGCAATGTGTGCAGCTACCCACATACAACCTCCAGGCACGGGAATTACTTCTCTAGCGTGCCTGAGCCCGACCTTTGCCTTTAAACTGAATCAAAGTAGAGGGAAATGCCACAAATTCGTAGGAATGACTTCTAGAGTCTCAATAAAAAATTCTGGCAGAGAAAAGGTTCTCATTCAAAAATCTCGGAGAATTTATCGAACGCTATCAGGTACCGTTCTTATAAATGTGAATTGTTTTTACCGCCTCTTATTATACCGATCTCAAAGGAACTTATGTGGATTTAAAGGTTGAAGACTCGTGCTCTAGGAGAATGGTTTGACAAATCTGTCGAGGGAAAAAAAGGGACAACGGGACTGATTTCTGGAAGGGTGGTGATCCTTCTAGAAAGGTTCTGTACTTATTCAAAAGCCATGGCTTTCCGGTTTATGATCAGCCTCAAAAGTCTGCAAAAAGTTAATCATGAGGGAACTTATGAATGTTTGAATGTTGAAAACCCGTGTTGTTGAAACCCGTGAATGTTGAAACCTCCCTTCCACCGTCTCATTTCACTAACCATCGAAACTCGCTGTCTCTTCCCACAACACACTACACACTGGAGTCCTCCCTCACCTATTGCTCCAATAGCTGTTGCTACTGGTAGCATCATTAAACATGCTATCACTCAAATACCATAGCTCCCCCTACAAAAAAACCCCTTCCGCAACCCTAAAAGCGGCTTGGAGCGGTGGAGCGAAGTTAAAAAAAAGTGGGGGGGGGGTGGAGAGGACAAGACAGATAACGAAGTCCGCGGATTCACTGTTACCGTAATCCGCGATAGCATTGGTGCGCGTTCTAGTAAGATTGGCGCGTCCTTTAGGCGACGCAAGCATCAGTCGCTCCGTTACGAGGCGATGATTAACAATCACGTGAGAGGACTAAGCCTAATAAAGGAAGGAAAGAATGCATAAATGCTGTAATATGCGAGATATGCTGCGACAGTGCTCGCAGAACTCCAGTAAAAACCTGAATCACCAGGTGTT